ACTACGGGGGGTATATCGGGTGTGATAGTGGGATTCTGCATCAAGCGATGTGGATCTTACTAAGCCAATTTTGGGCGAGTGGTGCCCTGGCAAACAATTTGTCCGATGCCTGCATATCCCCTGTAAAAACACATGTATGCGGTGTGGAGAAAGACGGCCTGAAACTTGTGCCTCGGCCCCCTTGCGATGTGTTGGAGCCTCTTTTGGCTTTTAAACGGATGATTACAATTCACTAGGCTCCATTTTTAGGCCCGCTGCTTATGGATACCCTCATGTGAGCAAGCTTAAGACAAACTCTTGCCAAAAGAGGGCCTAAGCTTCGGTAAGAGGATCTAGACTGCTAAATCCCTCATCCTGCTTGCATCTTGCATGTGAGAGGATCTGTTGATAGGGCATGGCCATGTATGTCGTTGTCCTGCAAAACAAACAAGTAGCTCGTGAAAAGTGTCACATGAACAAACTACATACAAAAGGGCAGCAAAGTCGCAAGACTACCTACCAACACTCATGGAAGAAGGCACGGAAACGACTGCCCAATGAGACCCGGAAGCCCGCATGGAAGTTTCTGGAAAATCGTACGTCCTTCTTGGTTTCCATGTATATGGGTAGAGGCCGAGTGTTTGCTCACACGTTCACAAGAAGCACATATAAAGGGCCCAATCCTTTTTGTATAAACCCTTTTTAACACAGCTTTCCATCAGCTCTAGGCCTCCCGGATGTAATGCCCGCTGAGAGAGCAGGTCTGGCACCACAGCTGCAGTGTCGCCCAAGCACAGCAATCTTCCTCTGGTGCTACGAGGGGGCACCACAAAGTGGATTATGAAAAGGGGTGTGCACAAGGATGATTCCAGGGATCCGATTTTTTACTCTGCCTACGCCCTAGGACCCTAAGGGTCCATGTGGGTATATGGTAGATGCCACAAGCCCAGAAGTGTTCCCTATTACAACTTTTTCAGAGGCCAGGCGCCTGCCAGAGACACCATGGGCTGCCGAAGGGCGTGCGCGGAGTCAGGAAGAAGAGCCTGGAGCCTTGGAGAAGGACCCCGTCGAAAAGCACATGGACGTTTTTGACAGAGGTTATAGGAAGAGGAAGTCCATAGGGATGCGGAGGGTCCTGGCTTCATTCAGGGATTTAGGCTGGTTTTGAAGGAACTGGGCGTTTGGGTGCCCCCAAGGGATCTTGCCAGGTAGGGTCCACCATATCACCGTATTCGGGAAATCTGGAAGTCCTTGTCAGTAGGATCCACTGGTTTATGTGGTCATGTATCCTCATGTTCAAAGCGGCCCCCTGGGAGCCCTCAAAGATAGAACGCTTACAGCTTCCAACAAAGCTGACTCTCCCTATAGAGATATCACGATGCTAAGGGCCTTCAAAATTCAAGAGCGAGGCTGTTGCCGACCACCAGAACCCACCTTTTAAAGCGAGGCCCAAAAGCATGGATCATGGACGATATCCTTTTTAGGTGGATTCTAGGGACCCTAAAAGGTACATATAGGATATATAGTTGGTATATAAGGATGCCAGGTCAAGGGCTCATACTAGGGGCCCATGACAGTAGCCACAAGTTGATCTTTACGTACTGGCCACTGTTCCGCCCTGACAAAGCTTAGCCCCTTAAAAAGGTAACTGTTGGGCACTCAGGCAGGACAAACACCTGTCATACTCTTGCGTGCCGCCAAGTTTTGGCAACTTCTGGACCCTACCATGCATGGAACCACATTTAAGTGCCCCCTTAAACCCAATGCATTGAACAGTCCGAATTAAGCCCAAGGACCCCTAACCCTCAAAACAGGAACCCGGAAAACAGATCCTAAATCCACCAACCCTCATACAATTGCAAAGGCTATCCCCCTCACAGCCCCTAAGCCCTCAACTCTAAACCCCAAACTCCAAACCCTAATCTCTGCACGAAACCCAACAACTTCAAAGCTCGAAAGCCTACACTTACAGCTTCACGAACTACGAAGGCAAAGGACCGGTCGAAGTCTTCTGGATCGCTGCATCGCCCATCCTCGGGGCGAGTCGCCAGGAGCCTCCATACAGGACAATGCGCACTGGACGTGAGGCATTCCTGGTACTCTCGTATCAGGCGCCTGCGCGCAACTTGTCTCGACTCTGCTGCTGTTGGCCTGCGTCCAAGAACGCCTCACAAGAAGCGAGCTGCAGGGCACTGGGGTTCACACGGCTTAGCGTTTAGGGCAGATAGGACGCATATGTTGATATAGCAGTATTCTGGAATTATGTATGTAGGATTAAGTACAGGTTATCATGTTGTTATATGGGACATAAAGGTTGTTGCACTTCCCGCCCATATTGCAGATGGGTTGGACCGGGCTTGGTCCACTTCATACGCTTATAGGCTGTTCATAGGCATACCAATCATTGTCCTGTTCGGCGGGAAGCCCCTGAGTCTTGCGGCCAAACCGGAGGGTTTGGCTTCAACCAATTGATGTGTTTTTGGGTTTTAGTCCCCCTATATGGCGTTGGGTATATTATAATAAGATCCCCATGTACCCCATATTCTATCTACTTTTAGGGGGACCATAAGCAGTGAACAGTAAAGAATGCCTACTTAGGCAGTGCTCTGCGCGCCCTCAGGCCAAACCAAAAAAAACCTTGAGCAGGTTCTAAGGTTTTGACCAAAGGTCTTAGAGGGAAAAAGCATGAGTAATACTCATATCTCCAGCCTTTGGCGGAGCAAACGTCAACCGGCAAGCCATCGCTGTAGGCCATGTGCAGCCTATGGCTTAGCTGGCATAGCATGCAGATCCAATTCTATCGCTGAACATTCATTCGTTAAGGCAAGGTTCCTCTAGGGTATCCTGCTGCAAAGAAAGGTACACGTGCCCAACATACTCGATGCAGAGCCGTTTTGGGGGGGTAGGTAGGCTACTCCGGTGGGGGGCAGTCATGGGAGTCTAGAACGACATCGCGAAAGGAACAACTTTAAAGTAAGCCTATGGCATCCTATGGCCTAAACTGGCCTACACAAAACTCTCTAGGCTGTGACAAAGCTGGCTGCTCAGGAGCAGCAAGAGGAGGACAAGATCAGCAGGAAACGATAAATGTCACAAGTACACCCTCAAAAAAGATCTCGACTCAACATCCCATTGAGACTTTGCAAAGACGTGAAAGAAAGTAGCAGCATCAGGGTTTACAGCCAAGGCTTGTTCACCCCTAACCAAGTAATAACAGTAATAAGAATAGTTGTAAATTTTCTAAAAGTAATACTAGTAATGATAATAATAATCTCCTTCTGGGTCTCGGACCTGCCCCCCCTGATTTCCATGCCAGGCTGCTCATGCAGGCACCAGAGCCTTGTCGGCAAACTACCAGACTCACCCAGCACCTGCTGGAGGATCTCGAGATATGGGGGTTTCCCAAAATTATGGGTACCATTTTAAAGGTCTCTATATAAAGGGTTATAATATTTTAGGGTCTATATTGGGGTCCCCCTATTTTGGGAAACTACCATATGGGAGTTTCAAAAACAGGGGAGGAGACGCCCTTGGTGCACATAGCGGCCTAAACAAGACCCTATTCAGAATTATTTACGGAACTGTTGTTCTGAGAATCTCCTACATTGTATGTCAAGCTGACGATCTGGTTGGATTTCCCGGGCTTGTATGATGATGTTTCCCAAGGGCCGTCGTTTCCGAACTCTGGCTAGACACATGCTTGATGGTCTTTAAATATGGTGCTCATGAGCTGCTTCAAATCCAATGGGATTCTGAAACCATGGAATCCGTAAACCCGGCTTCAGTGTCGCCTGAGCTCGATGCCAACCCTAAAACCCTAAAACAACCAATCCCTGAAACACCCCCCAATTAAACCTTAACTACTATTAGTCAATTATTAGTCCTGACTCGGCCCCCGTCGCTAAACCCAGAACCCAATGCCGAACTGATCTCTCTCTCCCTCTCTCTCTCTCTCTCTTTTTCTCTCTCTCGCGTCCATGCCCTAAACCCAATCATAGGCTTTAGGGTCACAAACTTCTCCAAAGCACTGCCACCAGCAAGCCGCACGCTCGAAGCCCTGAGCGCAGCCTTTCCCGTATGGCCGGTAGCTCCTCCGATAATTTTGCTTACTGGTGTATCGGAATAAATTACACAGGGATTATATTTGGATTATATTCCCTAACAACCAGTAGGTTTGGGTTTAGTGTTGGAGGGGAGTGTCAAGTAAGTAGGTTAATTATGCGACAAAGCAAGGCTGCAACGTGGCTTCTGCGGATTACAAATTCAAAAGGCCCCAACCCTTCAAGTTTGCTTATATACGCTCCCTTGAGGTTATAGGATTTTGCAATACAGGTGATGTATGTAGATTTCTCATGGGGAAGGCTGCCAATGGGTCCGATTAGAGATGGTAGGGCTGTATAACAAACAAGTCGCATATGTAGGAAGGGCCACCTTGATAGTAGACACCCGTCTACAGAGTTACGCATGATGTGTGTGTGCGTCTATCCAGAAGACTACTTCTCCAAGGGGCAATTAGCATCCCCTGAAAACAAGTTGGGGGTTCCGAGGTCATTAAGTGGGGTTACAATTTACAAAAAGGAATGAAAAGGGATTAGGGACCTTCTTGACTAGCTAGGTTTGTGATGGTTGTACGGCTTTTTGTAAAGGGACTTGGAGATGTCCTTGATGGTTCATTGCTTGAGAGAGGTTTGTACCAGGTAAGTACAATCTGTAGGTTGTTCGTTGTGAATGGGAGACTGGATTATAGGGGCTCGTATTGGAGTGGAGATTATGCTACATGGGGACTACCATCAGGTTCTTTTGCCTCATTCCCTACTCAGCACCAGGTAGTCTACCTTTTGTACTTTGGTCCTAAACCCAAAACACTAAAGAGTACTGGCGGCTGCATCGAGGATCATACAGATGTTGTAATCTCCCTTTGAAACTGCATCATTTGGCAAAGATCCCTAAATAATGACCCACATATCTCGTATTAACCGTGAGCAACCCCAGCGGCGGCAGTTGAGAGCGCTTTTTTCTTCTCAGGAGGAGGATTCGTCCGCGGAGGTGCAGCCGCAAACAGAACTCATCCCCCGCCGTAGAACCCAGCCTTAGTCCCCTAGTAGGGGAAGGGCTAGGGTGTAGGGTTTAAAGTCCAGGCGTACATTGAATGTTCGATCATGCCGGCCGCGGGTGGCGTCACAGAATCGGGATACTGGGTAACTGCTACATGGAGTCATGCCGGTAACATTTAAAATTTTGAGAAACACTCCCTTGCCAAGGGCTTCTCCTACCACATTCTTAGGACATCTTGGAATGTATCAACATGCCAGTCACTCGGCACTGCCGTGTCCTGGAAATAGATTACGTGCCCTGAACTCTTGCCCAGCCAAGCATCCAATTGCGCCGTTGTCCTTCCTCTGCTTTGGCAATATCTCCTCAGTGTGTTGGCGGTTCTCCCGAAGCGGGGTCCATGGTTGCTCCAGGTAGGTATGGGGATTGTAAGAAGAGTATGGGGTGCACCTTGAGGAGTTTGTTGGCACTGTTTTGAGAAACACCAATGCGCAAGATTGGTTTGAAGCATCCCCGGCCATCCATATCCACTTGACACCCATGCCAGGCAATGCAGAAATCTCCAAATGAGTTCCAATACCTGGCTGCTACTAATGGTTCTTGATAATCCAAGTACCGTGCACAAACTCCCGCAGCACTAAGCCCTAAACCCCTACACCTCACAAATGAGCAATCAGTGCTTGGTTACAGAAAGGACCATCACGTTCACACCAAGTGCGGCGAGCCTACGTTAGATACAAGTTATATGGGGAGAGAGATTTAGAAATACATGACCTAGAATACAGATAAGCCCTGACCCGACATGCTATGAAGCCTGACATATTTTTCAACGCGACCTTGACATGAGTCCTATGACAGTATCCCCAAACAACCCTCAGCAAATCCCGCACCGGCACGTCGTGCAAATACTCCTGCACCTCATGATACTAAACTCATGAAACACGCCTTATCTGGGAGCGTCCCAAAATTTAGGGTCGTTGGGCGAGTCCCTTTCATCATAAATATTAGAAAAGTACAGGGTTGATATACCCCAAGTCCTACTTGGAGGGTGGGTTGATATTCGGGCCTCTGCTTCTGAAAGCCCATGTTACCCCAAGTCCTACTAGGAGGGTGCGGGGGGGCCTCTAGCAAGTAGACCTATAACCCCATTAAGCCACACAACAGCCCCAGTTATTTTCATGAGCGCCCCTGACTCTCTAAACACACCCCAGGCTCCATGGGCGGCCGAGGAAGGCATGCATAACCCGCCAGCCATGACAGGCCGGCAACTAGAACGGCAACCCAAGTCACCTGCGCAAGGTAGGGGCCGAAAGAATTACAATAAGGTTTGAGGTATACTTTGCTGGGTTAAGGGCTTAGGGTTTTGGACTTTGGGGTATACGTTGCTAAGCTTTGTTAGGGTGATAGAGGGTTACTTTTGATGCTGCTAGGGCGGTCGTTTGCGAGCCGGGGGACGAAGTTGGTGGTGGCTGCAAATAATCTCACAACTATTGCGCCATTAACCTTAATCTCTTCACTCCGCAAAGGGCATCCAAGAATGGAATTGCAAGGGGCTCCACGTGTAGAGTTCAGGTTGTCTTGCCCCAATCATGGAGCATGAGATGAAACATGAAACGGAAACTAGGGTTATATATTAGGATCATGTATGACCCTAGCTTCCACTTCACTTTCCATGTTCTTTTCCAGTTGAGTCTCCTTTTGGGGGGTGACATGGGTCTGGAAAGGTCCTCGGAAACCAGCCAATATAGTACTTTCCATTTTCTTTTCCATTCCCCAAAAGTACATTATCCCAGTAAACCCTAAACCCTAAACCTATATGAGCTACATTCTAGACTCCTAGTATCCGCCTTAAAAACCCCTATAGTTCTATCATATATGATCCCATATATGACCCTCTTTCAGGAGTTTAGACTAGCTCGTGTAACCTTAATCCTTATAAACTACGCTTTAATCCAGTTTCCATTTCATTTTGAATTTTTCCATTTGATTCTCTATTATTGTGGGTAATATCCCTAAACCCTAAACCCGGAATCCTAAACTTGTAGTTTCCACTTTCTTTTCCATTATACCCTTATATAGCCCCCATAACCCTACATACAAATCAAAAGCAGCTCGTAGTTTCCATTACCCCAAAATAACCCTAATATAACCCCAATAGAATCCTAATATCACCCCACTAAAAACCTAAGATAACCCCAATATAACCCTAATGTAACACCCATATAACCCTAATATAACCCCAATATAACCCGACTATAACCCCAATATAACCCAATATAACCCTAACATAACCCCAATATAATTAACCGGAATGTAACCCCAATATAACCCTAATATAACCCCCATATAACCCTAATATAACCCCAATATAACCCCAACATAACCCCAATATAACCCCAATATAACCCTAACATAACCCCAATATAACCCGAATATAACCCCAATATAACCCCAACATAACCCTAATATAACCCCCATAACACCCTAATATAACCCCAATAAAAACCCCAATATAACCCTAATATCACCCTAATATAACCCTAATACAACCGCAATATAGCCCCAATATAACCCCAATATAACCCTAGTATAACCCCAATATAACCATAATATAACCCCAATATCACCCCAATATAACCCCAATATAACCCTAACATAACCCCAATATGACCCCAATGTAACCCTAATATGACCCCAATATAACCCTAATATAACCCTATTATAACTCCAATATAACCCCAACATAACCCCAATATAACCTCAATATAACCCTAATATAACCTCAATATAACCCCAACATAACCCTAATATAACCCCAATATAACCCTAATATAACCCCCATATAACCCCAATATAACCCCAATATAACCTGACTATAACCCCAATATAACCCCAATATAACCCTAACATAACCCCAATAAAACCCGAATATAACCCCAATATAACCCCAACATAACCCTAATATAACCCCCATAAAACCCTAATATAACCCAATAAAAACCCAATATAACCCCAATATAACCCTAGTATAACCCCCAATATAATATAACCCTAATATAACCCCAATATAACCCCAATATAACCTCAATATAGCCCTAATATAACCCCAATGGTAGAGGCCCGGCCTGCAGGCCAAGCTTGAGGTTCGCTGTGTCTGAGATGTGGCCGATGATCGGTGGGCTGATCACGTCACCTGGACAGGGTCCTTCAAGTCCCCATATGAGGAGATTATAGGGGTATATGGGGATATAGGGGTATATAGGGATTTATAGGGATATTACAAGGATATAGAGAGATATTATGGGGATTGAGTAGTCCCTGTTCTTCCATGAAGCAGGAGGGTCATCCTGTAAACCGCTAATAAACCTCGCCTGATTTAGAGGCACCCTAACCTAGAGCATGGCATAGAAGGATTTGCAGGCTCGACCCCCGCGCTCGGCTGTGCACCGGGATGACAGACATGGAGAGTGCAGCGATCGGAGCCATATAGGTAAAGAAACAGGTCTGTCCAATCACGAGGCTGACCACCAGGGCTGTGGGATCCGACACGTTCACCGCGGCCGCAATCAGTGCCGAGCCCGGCAGCATGAAAGCGGCAGGCACAATGAAGTAGGCGCTACTTCCCAGCCAAGGAAGCCTGCGGGCTGCGGAGTCAGCCACCTGGGATCAAGTAGGGGTTCTGTAGAGATGGCATAGGGCACACATAGGGTTATGGCAATAGCACGAGGTTTCTACGCATCAAAAATGTAGGTTGCGCCTGTAAATATGTTCACTGATTATAGACAGGCTTCCCAGAAGGACGCAGAACTGTGTGTGACTCACTCACTCTCTCTCTCTATCTCTCTGTCTCTCTCTCTCTCTCTCTCTCTACAATATACATAAATATACATATATACATATATATATGTACGAGTCTATGAACCACATGACATACACACACATATATACATATATATATATATATACATATATATATATTTATATTTATCACACCCAAGGAACGTCCAGTCCGAGCCCCCCCACACCTTGGAGCCAAGTAAACCCTGAAGCCCAAACCCTGAAACCCAAACCCTAAACCCTGAAGCCTACACCCTAAACCCTAAAACCCCACCTTGGAGCCAAGGATGGCTCCACCAAAGCCACTGGCCACACAGCTGACGCTGAGCACCAGCCCGGACACTGCCTGGGAGAGGTCTCAGAAAGGGGGGTTTAGGGGGTTTAGGGTTTAGGGTCTAGGGTTTCGGACCCTTCAAAGGGTCCAAGGGATGATATAACAAAGCTTGAGACACTTCATGTACATAATATATAAAAAAGAGGGCGGAGAAGAACAATGATGACAATCCTAATAATGATTGTAATATGACGAGTTGATATCCTACGCATTAGGTTTAATGTTGGGGGTTGTAGAAGATCAGGCACCACTAAACCCGAACCCTAAACCCTAAACCGCCTGGGAGAGGTCGGTGTAGCGCACCAGAAAGCTTGGGTACCACTCTGTGAGGCCTCCAACAGCAAAGGAGATGGCCACGCTGCCAATCCTAGCCAGCAGGGCTGAGGGAACACATAGAAGTGGAAAGGAAACACCAGGGTCACTTCTATTTGCTGTGTACAGTATCTAAAGAGGGTTTACTAGCTTCAAAACAACAACTGGGTTCGTAGAAGCCTAGAGTCGTAGCCGCCAGGAAGAATGGGTTGCTTAGCAGCACCCGGCCCTCATGTAGGAAGGCGCATGTCCTGCGGCGCGGGAGCGAGGACTCCTCCTCCGAGTCAGATTCTTCCTCGTCTACGCTGTCCTCATCTGAGTGCAAAGGATCTTCGCACTCGTCGTTGATGCCCATTGGGGGGCTATTCAGGAAGAGCACTGATGTGGCCACCAAAATGCCTGGGAAGCCACAAACATAGAACGACCAGCGCCAGCCTAGATTTTGCCCCAGGATAGACCCGATCCCAAAGCCCAGTGCAGCACCCACTGGCGCACTTAGGCCAAAGATGGTAAAGGCTCGATTGCGCTGGGCGACCGGGTAGAAGTCAGTGATCATCGGGGACGCAACTGTCGCGAAGGACGCCTCTCCAACTCCCACCAATGCACGGAAGAGCACCAGTTGCTCAAGGTTTTGAGCAAAACCACCCAATGCTGTGGCAAAGGACCAGAAGGCTATACCTGAGGCTAGCAGCAGCCTGCGGTCCATGCACTCCCTGTCTGCCAGGATGCCGAAGATGAGGCTGGCCACGGTGAAGACCCCGGTCATGGCCATGGCTGGCAGCGCACTCTGCCAATCATCCAGCCCAAGCTCTGCTTGGATCTGCGGCTTCACGGAGGCCGGCACATAGCGGTCCGCCATGTTCAGGGCATTAATACAAGAGAGCGTAAACAGCGCCTGGCGGGAACCCGGCTGGCGTTCGCCGGGCCTTCCCCGGACCTGAGGCTTCAGAATGCCGCAGGCCATGCCAGCGGGAGCAAAAGCAAGACCCTGGCAAAATTAAAGGATTCAGTCACGGCAATGACCTTGCTGCCTCCTCTCTGTCATGTTCTACCTGGTGCATAGATCTACAGATTCATGCTCTAAAGACTTGGTCATCCGTGATACTCAAGCAGATCCCCCAACCCCATTCCCCCCCTTGAAGCGCAGGATGCACGGCAGCGTGCGTGTCGCAAGCATGCAGAGGTAGGTAAGTGGCAGTACAGTGGAGAGGCAGCTGGGCAATGCTTTTGGCACATGCATCATAGCACCTCAACGGCACAAGCATGGCATCCTACGCTACGCCCCTACCCCCTACTCACTACCCCCTTGCCACAAGTCATGGCAAAGGGGATGTACTCTCAGGCTTGATAACGCAACTACTACTCGGCACTCATCATGCTACGTCCTCCAAACAATAGGATATGTACACTTACTGACTCTCACTTCCCCCTGCCAAGAGCAAAGGTCCCTACTATGCTGATACCAATCAAGATGAGGACTCCCATCGGAGAAATGCATGCCGGACCCTTTGCCTCAGCAGTTGTGCTGGGCTGTGCCAGTAGGGCAAGCCAAAAGCCTCAGCTCTCACGATTTGAGGTGGCATTTCAACTTGTTAGCGGCTTGCATGGCTTTGCGGGTGGTGATGCCTGAGTCCCAGTTCCAAATTTAGCATTCCTGTGAGGTCGGCCTTCATAAACCAACATAGTGATAGTAGCACTAGCAGCGGAAACTAGCAGAAATTGAAGTGGCAGCAGTAGCAGCCGCCGCCGCCACCATTATGCCTGTCGCCTCCACCACCACCGCCACCACCGCCACCGCCACCGCCACCGCCACCGCCACCGCCACCGCCACCGCCCCCGCCGCCGCCGCCACCGCCACTGCCAGGACACCACCGCAACACCATGTCCACATCTTTTCCTGATTGCTATCGTATCAGAAACACAGCTAGAGCCTGCTGGAGACAAGAGGCTGCAGTCGCGCCAGGCAGGTGCACCCCGCAGTTCCATCGAATAGCGCTGCAAGGCATGGAGGCAGTCCTTTTTCACACGCTCAAGGGGATCTTAGGACAGCAGATTTTTTTACAAATCACACTGCCACTCCATCCTATGTAACATATTCGGGATGAACAAGAACCTGGTGTGTCTAGATATAGGTGGGCGGTGCCTTAACATCTCGGTGACCTTGATGCCCTAATTATCTAGAAGCAATCCATACAACTGTCGGCTCACGCCCCTGTTTTCTTTGCCAACCTCAGCTAATTATGTGTATATATTATGTGACTGTATGCGAATGTAGAAAGGGTGCGAAGGGCAGGTCGAATCCGGTGCGCAAGCTGAAGTAAGCAGCCGCGCCGTAGCCTACCACCTGAAGTCGACTCTAGCCCTTGTCCCTGAAAAGAGAAATACAATAAGAACCCACTATCTCCTCAAGGCTGGATGCGCAAACCTAGTTAACCCTAAAGGCCGCATTTGCAGCGCCAGATAAACTGCAAGCAGAGCCCCGAGAAAAAAGAGTCAAACACCAAAACAGGGGGACAAAACCCTAGAAACTGACCACCTACACTGTGGACACTTCAGCCTTACGTCCCTCAAAGTATCAAAAGGTGAGGGATTGTGAACTTGAGTCACCCCTCTTTACCCCTGCAATCACTAGGCCGTTAAGCCCCTGTCAAAGAAAGCGCACGAAGAATGCCAGAATGCCAGGTAGGAGATGAACAGGGGCGCTCAAGTATAGGCACTTTGGATTCATACAAGAAGAAACCTAGAATGACATTCAAGCACCTTGACTCGAATAAAACCTTCGCACATCCAGAAATCCCTGTGTGGGAGCCTCTGTATGTACAAAAGAATACTTTTGTAGCAGTGTTCACAACGGGGAATCACTATGTTTGGAGAGCCAAATACATAAATGAACCAACCCCCTCACCCTGGCAAATGACTATGCCGCTAACAGGCAATGGCACCTACTGTATCGGCAACATTGACTTATGGTGTGGGGAGAGGGCATTCTATTTGACAGTTACCTTTTCATATGATTTGCCATGGGTGATTTTCCCTATTCTAAAGTTAAGCCCCTACACACCCTAGGCATGATGTGTGTGGGCACTTGAAGCATGATTTTTCCATAGGCCCTCCATATACACTCACAAAAACCTACAACGACATCCTACCCTGCATGCCCCATGTTTCATGGTCTCCCAAATAAGATGCCCAGCTTATACACTCAACTCTATTCCTGACGCATCCTATCTACACTGACCTAAAAGCCTGCAATAAGACCTACCCCCATGTAATCTCTTAGGGAAATAATCCCCCTAGGCCCTAGCATCCTCGAAGGATTCGCCCCAGCTGTGGCTGACGAAAGCCTTGGGGTGCGATTTGTTGCGCGTCAGCCGCGGACTCCCGGATGGGTCATTTGCAGGGTTCGGAGCTGAGGGTTGAGGGTTTTGGGTTTGGGTCTGGGGTTAAGGTTTTCGGGGTTTTCAAGCCTTAGAGGGTTTAGGGTCTGATGGCCTGTGGGCTTGGGCTTTAGGATTCAAGCTTGAAGTTTCAGATTTCGGCTCCCCGGCAGGTAGATCGGAGTTTCTGGATTAGGTGTGTAAGGATATTCACGGATTACCTTGAAATGCATAGGCAGTTTCAATTTATGCTGCTAACCTTGCGGCAGTCAGAAAGTGCGAGTCAACCTCAAGACGCTTCTTTCTGCAAGACCACGGCCTACCACCTGGCCATGCCAGCAAGGCCTTGACAGTCCCTACATGACTCCAAAACACTGCACAGAGCTTAGGCGATCCCCCACCCGCTTCTTGGCCTATAGTAAATACATTTGGGTTCCCATATGCTCCAAAAAAGACAGAATTGTCTGATGGCCCGTAACGGAACTTTAGTCGACTTCCATAACGCAGAGCTTTGTCCCATAATTCCTAACAATAGCAATAAAATGTTTCAGGCTAGCAGGCCTCTGGCTTCTGCGGCGGGTACACTTCCACGAAGGCTATGCGACCACATGGCGTCAAGGGCTGCAAAACCTAGTCGAGGTCTTCTCGGTTGAGCGCAGGGATCACAAAAGGGGTACTTCATAATCATGAGGAGATCTGGGGATATCACATGAGTTCCTAGGACAAATGCTATGGCCATGGTGATGGCTCCCTTCACCTCCACCTTCCCTGAAACCCCGGCCTGCTCATCAGGGTTCCACGCAAGTTCTGTAAAGAAAATCCTTCAGAAAGTTGCCCAAACACCTTTTTGGGAGCCCTAATCCCGAAACCTTGTGCCTGAACCCTAGACCCTTACTCCCTAGACTTACTGGTTGCCAGCAGGGAGTAAGGGAACATACGCCCTACATAATCCTTATGTACTATATTCCCTTAATCCCTACCGACCCCGGGAAATAACCTTAGTCCCAATGCCTGAAACTCTTTTGGCATCCCCCCAAGCCTCTTTCCGGAGTTGCCAAGCAGAGGGCCTCGCCAAGCAACCCAACGCTGCGTTGTAAGCTGGGGTCTCCAGCCAACTCCTCTTCGTGGCTTACACAGGGCTTTTAAAAGATTGCGTGGAATAGTGTAGGGATTGTTTATGCGAAAGTCTTTGGGCCGACCGCCAAAGCTAAGTTTGTGCCTTTGGGATCACGGATGTGGAGGGTGTGGATTCCCTGGTAAGCTTCTGCCAATCTCCGCTGGGAGTTCTCTTTTCTTCAACACACCAAGACTTCTGGTGGCAGCCCCTTTGAAGCATCTATGCTTCGCCGCAATTCATGCGATGTGGAGGCGCGCGGTCTACTTACAGTCAAACGTCGGTGTGTACATAGCCAATACGTAGATCCAACATGTGACCTTTAATTTGAGGATTTGTGTCATGAGCAATTTCCGACTGAAACATCAAACCCTTTTAAGACCCCATGACTAGATGGTAAGTCAGAGCTTCTAAAAATCGTGGTCTCAAAATATGGGGACCGCTATAATACAAAAAGTAGTTTGAAGCTCACTTGAGCGGTCATTGGAATCCTTGCTTGCAATGACAAAAGCCGGTGTCGCACGAAAGGCCTCCTGATAATGGCCCATTGAATGTTTGTGCATGTCCTATACCGGAGGCTCTGGCTTCATCATGAATGTAAAACACCCTTCCAAACCACACTGATCACCATTTGCCCTATAGAGCGTTGTCCTGAAAATCCTGAACCCCAAAACCACGAGCCTTATTCCTTGAACCCTATAGGGCCTAATTCCCGAAGCCCAAACAAGCCATGTTGGCCTGTAATCGTGACCCATTTCATTCTCCATTTTCTTTTCCAATTGATTGTCCATTATTATGAACAATCCTATATGAGCTGTAGTCTAAACTCCTAGTATCCCCCTTAATAACCCCTATAGTAGTCCCCTATATAACCACCTGTAAAGGAGTTGAGACTGTGGCTCATTTGCTCCTCTTCAGTTCGAAGAGTTCCAAGAGCTGCCCTGAGCTGCGTCTGGGCCAGTTGTGGAGTATTGAGGGCAGAACTGAGAATCAGAATCAATTGGAGAACGACTTCTGGAAACTGGGGGCATCTAGGTATATAAGGCGTATATATATATATATGGTGTCGACTTTGTGTCGACTTTTTTGTGTGTAGGGTTTCAGCGTCCGAGATGTTCTTCACGCCCAGAAGACTGTCTGCTTTTGTGGCTTTGTCTGCAGAGTCCAATGCCAAATGCTTTGTCAAAGCTTTGCCTTTCATTTCGCTTGTGGGCCTGTGGGAACCAGGGGCTGGGGATGGCTGGGGTGTAAAGGAGACCAGGGAGTCAGGGCAGTCACCGGCGGAGTCTGCCACTTCCGATTTGATCCTATACTATAGTAGCTTCCATCTTATTTTCCATTATCCCTATATAACCCTATATAAACCCAGAATTGTAATAGCTTCCATTCTATTTTCCATTATAAGCCCTATAGTAGCTTCCATTTCATCTTCCATTATCCCTGTACTCTTCCTGTCGGTCCGGCTTTCTTCGC